GTTAACTTTTCAGTTTTCATTTTTGTTCGTTAAGTATATCTATATCTCAAAAATTATAGCTTCAACATTATGCTTTTACTAACGTGCTGTGTAGAAATAGTATACATTCTTATATTCGGTTCATACTTCTGCTAAAATCATATGTAAATGCATACATTGACCAGTAAGTGTATACATCTACTAAACTTCAAGCTTTTACCATGACAATATAATACTAAAATTACATGAAATTTAGTATCATTCGAATAAATTCGTTCTACCTACAGGGCTGACGGTTTACAACATCAGCATTACAAAGAACAAGAAGAAAAACATATGTGTCCGAATTTATTCGCCTGGTACTGTAAATGTAGAGTGACTTATAAACGGTACAGTGTATACGAGGGCACCCTGTATAAGCGGGGCACATCGAAGCAGACTTCCCCCGATATGGATGATTTGGCCCAGAATCCCGTCAGGACGTTCGCGGCTGAAAGAAAGGGAGCAATCGAATGCATCCCCTGGCCTTCTTCTGCCACCCCTCCGCCTCCAAGCTAGCGCAGACAGACATCCCTAGTGTCGTCTGTGTCTCCTCCCCCCACCCCAGACCAGCTTCCTCCCCGTTCCTCTCGATATACCAATATTGTTAATCTATTCGTTGGTTCTTGGCACGAGATCAGACGAAAAATTGTTACGGTCAACAGCGTAATTCAGTCGACCGTTGACGGCGACGACGACTTTCTGCTCACGCTAGATTTAACCGAGCCGCGGACGCAATGGTGATTAGGTGAATAGAGGGGGCATGGTGGGAGGCAGGGCATCGGCTTCGTTAGGTGTCTTTTGAATTGGGAAAAGGGGGACGACGTCGACGACGACGACGATGGGGTGATTCGAGCAATTTCAGAAATGATAACTAGAGGGGTGAAGGAGGGAGAGACAGTAAACAGGTCAGTAATTTAAGCATCGCGGAGGCACCCAATTTCCTTTGGAGAACGCTCAATTTTTTGTACCGTGTGATTTACTCGAGCACGGAAGTGAGTTGTTGTCCTCCAGGATTGTAGATTATAGATTCGGTTGGTGAGAAACAGACGGAATACAGAGGAGATACGGTATTCCTTCTCTGTGATTGTGTTTTCTTTTTTCGAACTTGTCGCTGTACCATCGATATTCTCAGTGTATCACGACGGTAGGTGATGATAGGTCTTCAGGATTGTTGATTGTGGGTGAAGGATAACAAGACTGTGCCTCTATAATTTATGTGATTTCCTCAGGCAGGCAAGTAATTTGTTGTCTTCCAGAAATATGGATTATAGATTCTGTTCGTGAGAAACAGCTGGAATACAGAGTAGATACGGTATACCCTCTCTGTAAATGCGTTTTTTCGAGTTTGTTGCGATACTATCGACATTCGTAGTTTAATATGAACATAAAAAGAAACCAAGTATGCCATGTCTGAGATCGTATTGAGAAATAATGTTTCCTTAAAAAAGGATAAATTATATTCCCGTAGAAGAAAAGTGGTTCGTTTTTACTTTAACCACAATACATAAGGATCGAAAATTATAGGGTGGTTTTATAGTTATACCACGTAGTGTATTACAAGGATCGACGAATCTTCAGTCTCGTTAACCCTTTAACGACAGTGTCTGGGTCCTTTTTCCAATCCAATAAATTGCGAGATATTCAGGAAAATGTTCTTTTCACCCCGAAGTTTGAGAGCTGTTCTCACCCTCTAGCCATTAATATCAGCAGCTACAAAGAAAATACTAGTCAAATATTTTGTACTGTATTACCTTCGTGCCAAATGGCATAAAAATCGCCGTGTTACAGTAAAATGCCCCTTCGAAGTACCGTCGTTTGTTCGATAATCAGAAACGTTCCTCTGTTCTTAATTGTGCGAGAAGAATAATAAGAATCGTGTCCAGTGTTCTCTACAATCTCGTAGGATAACGAGCAACGCAATTATAGAGAGAAAATTCACGATGATTCGGAGAATTATATGAACGGTAGAAAATAATAAGTACGTCTTTCAGACACTTCGCGATGCTGATCAAACAGAGGTAGGGGCGGCATTCAAATGGTTAACGTTCCGAACTCAAGAGCTCGACATTTTCCTGTTAGCTCGACGGTGCACGGTTCTCGTTCAATTAACTCGCACTTTGCACGTCAATGGGCGAATCAATCGGCTGAATGTCTCCCTTGAAAGCCCGGCTCTCTCGTGTGTGCATGCGTGTGTGTGTCTCTCGCGAGAGGAATAAAGTCGCCGATTTCCGTAATCAAGTATCCGGCTCGAATGGTAATTACGTGCCACGTGCGATGATTATCGGCGAGAGAAAGAAGGTTGGTTACAGACCCGTTACACGTTCGTTCTCATTCGCTCGCCCATTTGTCTCATTTCGCTCTCGCCTGCGGCGGACGCTCTCGTCACTCTGTTGATGACAGATCCTACGAAAATGGAATAATTCGGAGGCAATTTTTGTGTTCAGACAATGGAACAATATTTTCCGTAGTCAGAATTTGGATCAGCGAGAGAATCCTATTAACATATGACCTTAATTCCCTTGACAATGAGATATCTGGTTCAATCCTTTCGAGACTGACGGGACAATCCGTCCTGAAGTAAGCTTTGCAACGTCTGCTGGGATATAGGCTCCCAAATTCAATTATTTATAAATGAAACAGACCAGAAGTGTATGTTGCAGAGTTGGATTCTGTATTAAATATTTTACATCTTACCATTAATAATATTGTAATTAATCACTAGACTGCGGATTTTTATGCAAAATATCATTTTATGAAGCGATTTACACAGAGAGGAGTAAAAATAAAAAGTTTTTTCTTTTCTCAGGGATTCTATTGGGATAAAAATGAAATAAAAAATTTATTAAACCCTATCGAATTTTTATCCTTTGCTATATTTCATATAGTTCTACGTGCCATAAATGCATTCGACTTTCTTGACAATGTGTAAATGTTGAAAGTGTCACAGTAAAAACAAGAAATTATTCACTGGTAAACCCTACAAACACACACCTATATGTTTTTAACAATGTTGCTACAGGCACTGCATCCTTTAATACGTTCGTTAATCCCATAAGCAGCCACAAAAGAGGTACTAAATTTCAGTATATTACTGCAAAATCACGAAATAAAATTATAATGTTACAGACGGAAATAATTGCATCCTGAAATATTTTCGACCAGTCAACATTTATTTCGAGCGTGATTTTATTGCATCCGATTTAGAGACTTGCGGTAATTATGACGATAACGTGGTCCCAGTCGGTATCTCGCGGCCGGATAATCGGAATCGGGTTTGGCCGTAACGAATCGGTCGCCAATTTGCATCCGTGAATTATGCGTGGGGGTCGCGCAATCGTGCACGCAAACTCACGCTCGCGCCCTCAACCGTGCATTTGCATCAGAATCACACGCCGAGCAGACTTTTATCAGGGAAATCTCATCGGCTGATATTGAAGCGTTACAGATATTTACCAGGGCCGGCGTCACGAGACGCAAAGTACACTCTATTAAGCCGTTAATGCGCCTTATGATATATCCATCGGTTGCGCTCATTACTCCACCCGTGGCTGAGCTCGACTTTGAAAAAGTTTCCGCGGGCTTCTTCCCATTTGAATAAGAATCGCCGTCGTTTTCCACGGTTACCAGACTCGAGATAGGAACTGAACGGACGCAGCTGCCTCGCTGAATCAATTAAGGTGCCGCTGAAATACTCGATGCTCACTTTCGTTGGCCGCGTTTCAAACCGACGAATGAAAATCCCGTTTTGATGTCGTACTCTTGTTGCACGAATTTGTGAAATATCGTATGTTTCTCTGGTAAGACAAGAATGACAGGGGAACTTCCGTAACCTGAAGATTGTGATTTCTTTAAAACTATGGAAGTTTGTAGGGGATCGCGATAGTAATGTTAGAGAATTATGTTCTTTGGCTACCTTCTCGGTTTTCACGGTGAAAACATCCCTTAAAGGGTAATCTATATTTTCCTATTTTTTGGTATATGTTGAATAATATAGAAGGTATATAAAACATTGTTGGAGTGAAGTTTCAATGGCATTTCGTGCTCTATGAAACCGTCTACTAGTATACTTTTGGAGATATACAGGAAAATAGATGTTGAATAATATAGAAGGTATAAAAAACATTGTTGGAGTGAAGTTTCAATGACATTTCGTGCTCTATGAAACCGTCTACTAGTATAGTTTTGGAGATATACAGGAAAATAGAAAAACACACAATTACCTTTAAGGGATGTTTTCACCCTGGAGAAACCAAAAGAGTAGCAGAAAATCAAAGTTGCCTCATACTTTCATTAAGGTTACGAACAAGCTTGCAAAGTTTAAAAGAAATCAGAACTTTCGAGTTACCAAAGTTCCCATGACCAGTACCGAACAAATAAATTCTTTCACAGTCCTTCTTTCTATTTGTTGTTACGACAATGCTACAAAAATTCTCCCTTACGAACTGATTAATAATTAGTACGACCTTAACTTTCCTCAAAGTTATACATTATGGTTAAAATAAAAACGAGCCACATTTTCTTCTAGATTCTAGAGAATATAATCTATCCTTTTCTGAAGAAACATTATTTCTCAATACGATTCCGGACATGGCACCTCTTGGTTCGTTTTTATGTTACTCACAATACATAAGAAGTGAAAATTTCAGGATACATTTAATAATACGTGGAATAATACGCGTCGGCTTATTTTTGCTCTAGATTCATCAGAAGTTTCATTAAAATCAACGACGGTGACCTCTCCATGTATTCGAACCTTTATTATTAATTGGCGATTAATATTAATCTATGCAATGATTATAAATTGCACTATTAACGTTCAATTTATCTGAATCCCACGACCATTGCTACCTAACCCCCTCGCATCGGAGGACGAGATATCTCGTCTTCCGATGCGAAGGGGTTAATTGTTATTCTGTAATCGTTCCATTGTCCATGACGGAAGTTATTCGGCCCCGAAGTTATTCGTAGTACCAACTTACCTTGGTGTAGACACCGGCGCTGGACAGTTCGTTCTCGATGACCATCACAATGATCCCGAACATGCCCATGACCAGCGCGTAGTCGCTGATGCGTTTCCGTTTCTCGAACAGGGCCTTCCGTCTGCCCAGCCGGTAGCCGACGTTCGGTTTGTACTTCAGGCCGGGCCTTATACGGCGCGACTTCATCTGGCCGTCACCGGCCAGCCCCGGGTGCTCCGAGTGGACGCCAACCAGGGCGATACCGGCGTCCTCGCCGGTCCCAGCGGCACCCCCGCCACCACAACCAGCACACCCGCCGACGCCCCCGGCGCCACCCACGCTGCCCCCACCGGCCACGCCGCCGCTGTTCTTCATCGCCCCCGGGATCGAGAGAGTCGACACTGGCTTCCGTAGCTGGAAAAATTACGGGACCACTTTTAGTAAATCCGTCCCCTTTTTCGGGTGTTGTTCTGTCTTCTCTTCGTTCGTTATCTACCTTCCCTTAATCGAGGGGGCTCACAAAAATTTTTTATTGGGAGGTATCGACTGTGACTGGAGTCACAGGAGATTTACGTTGATTTTTATCATAGTGTATGGGATTTGTACTGCAGGCATGTCCCATTTTCTACTATGGTGATGTTAAAAGAATTGCTGAATTCTCTGGTAGATGCCCTTCACGTTGTCACCGCCATGTCTTATGGGTAGACTGCGAATTTTATATATTTGTAGAGTACCCGATCGTTTGAAACTCAATACAGTAAATCATCGATGAGTGTTAAGGGGTTCTTCGGCACTGAGTGTTCAGACGTTATACCCACTACTGGGCGCTTGATTGGTTCCACGAGACCCTCCTATCCTTCTCCGCAGTGTGGTGGGGATGATGTCTGAACACTCAGTGCCGAGGGTCCTTCGAACACTCATCGATGATTTAATGTGCGGTTCAAAGTTTCGTCAAGATTAATGGGAGTTTTTATGTTATTTCAAGCTTGACAGAACCCTTAAGGTAAAGAAATTTCGGACTGATTCCAGTTCCATGTTTGCATAAATGTCCGCAGTCTACTCGTGACTATTAAAGTTTCAGTAAGTACTTTGTTCAGTTTCTATAAATTACTGCACAAAAACTTATGTTTGCATTAATATCCGTAGTCTTGTGATCAGTTATGTCGGTCATTGACGAGCACCATGGCGGTGAACTTCTTAAGCGAATTTACATTTAAGATTCTAGACAATCTTTCTGATTATTCTATACTTCTTTGCGATGTTTAATTTTTTTCATACACACTGTAGAATTTGTTTTAGGGGGTAACTAACGTGTGTTTGATCTTGATATGACTATAGTGTAGTCTTTCACTACGGTGAAATAGAATCCATAACAAAATTCGTGATGATTCGAAAAGCCTAATCTGGTATAGCAACTTTTGTCTTACTACTTACGTTCACTTCTAGGTCTATTCCCTCATTTCCAAACTCAATTAAGCTCTAAAAATTATTTCCCCATACTTACGTACCTTTATGTATTTCCTTTAATTCTATCATAAAAACTGATACCATGCACATAATTAATTATATCCATAGAAATTTCGGAATCTGATTTGTAGGAAAATATTGAATAATCTGCACCTATTCAGTAGAATTACCGAAAGTACAGACCATCAAGAAACTACAATTCATAATTCTGGAAGAAGATACCACGAAGGAAGCTCTTAAAGCTAAATAATGGACCGACAGATCCTTCCTTCGGAAGAACTTCCAGGGAGCAGCTTCTCACCAAGAGCTCTCTGGCGAAGTGAAAACGTTTTCAGGGGAGGGTAATCGATGCGCCGTATGTCGAAAAATAATGACGTTTTCGAGAAAACAGGGATCACCGTGACAGACAGTCAGACAGTACCTACGCCCCTTTCTCCGGCGGCGATCAAACCGAAGCTTTTCTAGGTTAATGCCACTGCAGCTTGTCCGAGAGAGGTAGAATAAAGTAGCGACGGCGTGGAAGAAATGTGTGGACGCGTCGGGGAAAATCTTTAGTGCAACTTCGTTGGAAGACCCTCGAGAAAGATGAAAAGATTTTTCCGCACTACAGAAGAACGTGAAAAATAGAAACTTCAGGCACATTATACTCCCTTTCTGATTTACTTTCTCGTAATCTGTACCTCAAGAAATATTTTCCAACAGACCCTTCGTTCGTTTCAGTTCGCGAAGAATAAAAACTCAGGCAGGGTATTAGGTAAACGTACTAATGAACGAATAATCGAATTTTAAATGGCATTAATATGAATAAATATGTGGCACATGAAAATTAGACTCTTTAATGTCTATACACTTCCTTAAAATGTATAGATTTCAATTTAAAAAATTGGATGAATGTCTTAATTCATTTGTTTTTATATATAATGTTATATATAATTTATTTGTCCTGATTTACTTTCTCGTAATCTGTGCCTCAACAAATAAATATTTTCCAGCCCACCTTTCGATTTATTTCAGTGGTTTTAATGGTGTTTCGTAGAATTTTAAACGATGTTATTCTGAACGTAGTACCTTCCTCCCATATACGTGTTACAGCTAACAATCTTCGCGCCAGTTACAGTTTAATTAAACGGCACCAAACGGTTATGGCCTTATACCGGTCAGAGTCCGCGATTTTACAAATTATTACCGAGTAAAACCTTCGCCGGGATGGCTCACCTGGCCATCAAACCATAACAGACGTCGTGATAGTATTCAGAAGAAATTTGCAAAGTCCTGAACCAGTAAAGTATCAAGTACCTATATAAAAAAGGTGTCCGTATTTTCGACCGGTTTTCATTTCGTTCGCCAGTATAAGACACCCTATTTCGTTGCCCGACAATGTACGTGGAAAAGAGGGCAGCCACGCTGTCGGAATACAAATGAAACGGTGTGGAGGACGAAGGAGGACGTGAGAAAATCTGTGAGCTAGCTGGCACACGTTTTACAGGTGTTTCGCGTATGTTCCGCTCTCTCGTGTTCTTCTTTAATCCTTTGCACTCGAAGCTGTTTTAGCTATGGGGAACTATTTTAGCAACTCGCGGCCTTTTCGAAACAGCGAGCTACAAATTCGACGAAAATCTCCAAAATGTAAAGACTAGCCTTAAAATAACAGGGAACTGTGAGGAACACGAAAATAATGTACACTGCATGGCATAACTATAGAATCACCCTAACCTTTTAGGTTTCAATGATAAAGAATCTACGATAGAGGGGTTAGTACAAAAATGTGTCGAAGTTGATGGAAATCAAGTTGAGCCTTTTTTAGAATAATTTTTCCTAAAATTAAAAGTGAGATATTTAAGGTGCCCACGTCAGGTGGGGCACCCTACATAAATCACCGTAATCAAGGTATAACGACCATGTAACACCTGAAGTCGACTCACGAGTATATCGAATATTTGTCAGCTGTCGACGATAGTCGTCGATCGTATCGAGAGAGCTAAGAACGATACAAGATGATGAAGTTTACGAGCCGTGGATATCCGTAGCGACGAAACGACTGTGGGAAATGGACCGTCGACCGGTTGACGAGCGTACAGACGGGCTGCATCATTCACAAGTGATCTCTCGTGATTCGGATCCAGTAGAAATCCGGTCAAGGAGCAGGTGGCGATCGCCGGCTGAGTCGGTCTCGTGGAATCTCGGTTCAACGAGATCGATCGTATTTAGTGCTCACGGCGAATGGCAAACGGCATCTGCCACGGCGGAACGAAAGCTATCGACTTTACGATGGGAGGATTCCTTTTTTTTTAAAGGAAGTTCTGTTATTGCGCGGAGAACGTAAGTTGCAGTAGAAAGAGAAGAATAATTAGATTAACGGTGTAGTTAGAACTACATCCAAAAACATATGTATAGTTGCGTACATAAGTATTGGGACAGCTATTATGCGCGAGGGAAAAGTGATGTTCTGTACAAATTGTACATTTGGTACTATATTCATGTTTTCGAATTTTAATATTCGCTAGACTGTATTTTTTATGATATCTCATATCTATCTTTTATAATTTCTTTGACTAGAGTTTCGATAATTTCTAGTAGTATCTTAATAATATAAGGGTCCTAATACTTATGGACGAGGGCGTACTTGCATAGTTCGGCGATGGTTAAACTTCTGTGGTCTACCACAGAATTTGGAAGTTTCAGAAGTTTCATATTACCAACAATTGCTCATGCGCCTAATTCTTAACTTTTAAATGACTTGCAATCATTTGCGTTTCCTTGATCAACAAACAGGTTGGCGTTCAGCGTACAATGATCACCGATAAAATGGTGCTCATATCAATAGACTGTCGTTTGCATATTTTCGTTATACAAATAAATTCTCATCTCTGCGACTATTTCATAGCGTTCATTCATCCGTCGAGATTGCATGATGCCTGATTCGACGGCGTTCCAAATGCCGATTTATCGAACGGGCACGCTCCACGAGTCGCACAAAGGAGTCACGACGGAAAATTTTCGTACGAAGATGTCGCAGGAAATCGAAACGCGATGTGGAAAGATAACGCGAGATTGGGAAAGGCAGGGACGTTCTAGACGACGCGTCGCGTCGCCGAGCGGCGCGAAAACAAATCGCGAATAAAGAAGTGAAAAATGCAGGGGGTTTGAATTGTAAATGTATCATGAATAGGTGATTTCGGGACGTGTTTCGAAAATGCGGATTCGGTGGTGATGATTCATGGAAATGACAAAGGTGTAATGAGGGTGTTTAGGTGTTGTGATTGCGTGAGTTTGAGCATCCAACAGTGGGGATTTAATTGTAATTTAACTGAATTGGGAAATTAAAGTGGGGATTCAATTGAATTTAAATGTATTATTTAATTTTCCTGTATCTAATTTAATTTGTTTGTGTGAAATAATGCATTTCAGACCGTAGAAAGTAATATCAGTAATATCAGCTAATTCCACATGCAAAAATGAGTCGAAATTTCGGGATAAATCTTTTCCACACAAATTTGGGTTTGCTGGAAAATCTACTTCGAAGAGTCATCTGACATCTACAGATACAATTTGTCAAACTCCATTTGCTCACAAACGAAACCTTCGACAAAAATATATTTTGTGCCTTTTCCACTGATCTTCCATCGTTACTCCTCTCTCTCATCATCAGCAAGACTATATCAGGTGTTTCAATGCGATCAGGTGTTGTACGTGATTATAAAGAGCTCAGCATAAAAGTACAGAATTCTAGGAAGACTGTCCTATAATACAATATCCCATAGAAAATAATGAAACGAATACACACGGTACAAGTGTATTAAATTCACCAACTGCCGGACAATATAAGTCCACGTGAAATTTATTCGACACAATGGGCGACGGCAAAGAAATTCCTTGAAAACATGGTTCATTAGAGGGAAAAAAGGGTACACGTTGGTGTGCCTAAACGTGAAACACACGAAACTCCA